ACGAGGTCATTTTAATTATTCTTATTCGTTCTAATTTTCATTATTATTATTATTTAATTTTGTTAACCAGTAAATATTGATCTCGTTCCTTGAAGGAGCAAATTTTATCCGCTTATTCTTGAAATTCTGACCCTAGAAGATAGTTTACTCGTCGCATACATTTAGTGGCCGTACTGGGAGACTATCCACCAGTTGAACATATTTCCTACCAACGAAATAGAATTGTTAACGAAAAAAACAGGCCCAGTAGTCAGAGGGAGGGAGAGAGGGGTGGCAGGGACGGGAGGTTGGGAAATAGTGGATAGGAAGGGGCAGTGAACCGGGAAATTCGAAAAAATTACTGAATTCAATCAGTTTTTCTCTATTTATGGGTTTTTAGGAGAGTTTGTCAAATGACGTATAATTTTGAAATTGACGTTTTTAGACGTATTCGTTCGTCGTTCGCCCACGCCCACGAGTTAATTTATGCGCCTACACGTCATCCAATTTTCCATTACCCTTTCCCGTCCTCGATTGGCACATTTTAAATTACTTTTTTCTAGAATTATATTACATTTTTTTCCTGATATCATTTTGCGGTGCTACTTAGTTGACATTTTCCATCCCACTTCTACCACATGTGTCACAGATGACGCAAGTCAATTCCTCTCCTTAAACAAAAATAATATAGGGCTTGTATCTCCCATCAATAGAAATCGACCTTCGTTGGACAGAATATTGATTCATTTGAAATTGTAAAGGTGCAAGGTTGTAAGATTGTACTATGTATGCTTGGCTAAAGACCATTTTAGGCAGAGCGTGTTTGGACCCACAGTTGAAATGCTCCACAGAAAACGTAGGAACCCCTACTAGAATTTTCATCCCAATTTCTGCTCACTGCGATGAAATTGCTTTAGTGTTGACTACCCAATGAGTCCCGGCGAGAATTTCAAGGAATTAAATGTTCTCGAGTTTCTAGTTCAAACAGACACCACGCCTTCCGCTATTACATATTGTTCACGGAATTCGGATGTCTGCTAACGAATTATTAGAAAGGCAGGTTGTTTCAGACGTTCAGACCTTAGTACAGTTCTTATTAGTGAAAATTGCTCTCGGGTGACTCATCTATTGGACTCAATGAGCTTGTGAAACTTCTTGAATTCTTCGAATGCCTGGAGTCAACGTAGAAGTCAGGAGAGCTAAATTCAATAGTTGAAGTTTTCAGATGGCGAAAAAAAGAAGAAAACTTAGATATAAAATAGAGAAGCTCTCGTGATTATTCCAATCATATTCGAATCTTTCGAGGGCAATCGAGCATTCATATTTTGCCCTAACCAGCTACCGACTTATAAATTATCCTTTCTAGAAAATTTAGGCTGCATTCAGAGAATGCGCTGAACTGGCTAGTGGGAGGACGGAGGAGTGGCAAATGGGAGAAATGTCGCATTGGTGAGCAAAGTGAATTGACCGTTCAGATTTTCAATACCGTCAATTATGCAAAGATGGATTTGAAAAAAGAGCTTTTGAAGTAAACCTGGCCGAAATGTTCCCTACAGTTTTGAAAACTGCGCAGCTCCTTTGAGTTTTCGAAATATGGTGTAATCGATAGAGTCTGGGCTTTTCACTGGTCTTTTAGAGCTGAAGTTTCTACATAGCTATGACCTTAGAACGGTCTTCAACTAAGCAACTCTCGTATTTCCATATGCCGTGTTTGCCACATACAACGCCGGGGAGAACGGTGGGAGGGAAGATGAGGGCAATACTCACCCACGAAGATAGAATCCTTCTGCCTGACATGAGCTGACGCTTTCACAACCGGATTTCTATGTGTATGTGTATGTGAGCTCCACGGCACTTAGCTGACAACAACTTCCGAATCAAGATGATCGTTGTCTTCTAAATCACCGGGTCGTTGCCTATAGTCAAGTGGTCTGGATGACCAAATGTTCATCGTTACATATTATCCAATGCTGTCCCTTCCGGTTCAAGTTTGCTCGAGCCAATGACTAAAAAACGAGCTGGTAGTAATTAGAAGGGGAGTGCAAGTAGCACGATTGCACTTCATAAGAACCAGCAGCTCGCTACGTGGACCTGCAGGTGGTTTTGAATTGGCTAAAAGTGGGATAAAGTCGTAATGTAGGGGGAACGGGGGCTGGCGTCAGCCACTGCGTAGCTTTTCCAGCCGACAGGCGGCACTCTTCCTCCCCATATGCACTTCGCGCGTTTTCTGCGGAGTTCTGTTTCGATGGATTTTCCCCAATTGGGGTCCGGCCGATGATTACTTTGATCAGCATTCAAACACGCTGGTAATCTGAATGTTTATACTTACTCCACATTCTTGAAAAGCCGTAGAACTTAAAAAGATCTTTGTATATGGCAACATTCATTTCTTACCAAGTTCTTCTACCAAATGCCACCTCAGTAATCTTAATTTGGAAGTCTCAGACTGGATCCTTGGCTGAGATTGTACAATCTTCTTCAGCTTTTGTTCTTCTCTGCCTGAAATTCTGCGACACTCGTGGCTCAACGCCGTAAACGGTATTCCAGACTTCTGATAATTTCAAAGAGGTCTAGATGTCTGTCTAGATTACCCCTATAGTTAGATATATAATGATAACTCTTGTTCTTATTCCATGAAGGCCAAAAATGTCTTGACTTGTCTCTGTTAAGAGCGGTACAAAACGTCTCGTTTCATTCATTGGACTCCCGGAAGAAGCCTAACTGTCGGTTCGTGGCCGTTTTGGTGTTCGTTTGATGTCCCGTGAGACCAACTGGATAACAACCCTCTGTCTAACGGTCATTACGAATCTACGTGACGTGTTTTTGGCTCTTTGGCCTAATTTGAAGCGTCTCTGATCATGGTTCGTTAACAGAATCTGGGACTGGGACGCTTTCCCATTCACATGTAACGGGGTACTCTTGGCACTTCCCTTCAGCAGAATATCACCGAATCAGCTGAAAACGTATTCCTATGCTTATGTTTTCATGTAGTTCGAGCCTCTTGGGCTCTGGTTGGGATAGGAGGAAAATTAGAATCGGAAGGTGGGCCGAGAACCGGATGTTACTTGCCTTCTTCGCTTTCCCTCGAATATCTCAAGCGTTTCCTATGCCGCTCGCCTTTTTCCAGATTACTATGGAGATAGGTCGTTTATCATGTTGATTTACTGGGCCATTAGGAATAGCTGGAGCATTCATAAACGCTTATTGTGTACTGCGTAAACCACACGTCATAGACAAAAGATTTTCCCAAGAACTTACTCCTCGTAAGGTTCAGTCACGAAGGCACGATTTGCTTCACCTGCTCGATTATCATTACCGAGATTGGTCGCAAAGTGCAAACAGCCGTCATCCTCCACTCTCATGTCCATCCCTCCCTACTAATGAGTGGGGTTTCCGGGACTAACGCTGAAGGTCTAAGATGGTACCTTTCTGTCGGACCTACTTTACCCTCGACGTCAATGATGAACTATTTCTGGTATCGCCTCAGTCGACACTGGAAATGGCCTAGTTGCACACGATTTCAATACTGCTTTTTCACCTACAAAATTTGGCGTGAGGCCTAGTAGTGACAACTCAAAAACTGCCTAGAGTGTGAATATGGGCTGCTACGTTTCTGAAACTCTTGAAATCGTAGTCATACTTTTGCAAATCACCGAGAATGTAGTGACCAATCTGTCCTTCGAGGTTTCCAAAGGAAGATCCCCTTCTGAAGCTACAAATCTTTCTCCCAGCATCTTTTACTTCTGCCGCACTACTAGTCTGCCATGTTCAAATTCTTCCTTGATAACCTCTATGGATCACCATAGTATCTCCCGGGAGAGAATCTTTTCGAGGAAATGATACTTGTTTCCATGAGAGCTCCGACTGACCAGTTTGTGGAGCAAAATTCAGCTATAGGCACAAATTTCACAGATATATTAGATGGAGTAGCAATACGAGGCAGAGAAGAACCTGTTTTGTATTTTTTCGCAAACAAACCTTTTACTAACAACTCTACTCTCTTTCAAACAACTGTTCCTAAAGTCATTAATGGAAGTGCAGTACATCTTAGCTAGTTTTTCTTGTAAAAGTTTCCTTCAGGCGGCGGCGATTTCTCGACAGTTTGAGTTAGCTCCGGTCTTTTCTTCCGATTTGTTTATTTGGTAATCACGCTATATTTATTCGATTACAACTAAAGTTGCCCTACAGAATGCTGGAGATGGTATTTTTTTCTTGACGATAGGGTAATACTCGAAAGCGGAGTGGATAATAACATTATGTATCCGTAGAAGAGTAGATATTTCAATGGAATTACTTTAGACAATATCCGATGAGCAATTACATTCAAATGTCAGCGAAATGCCATTGTGCTCAGCTCATTGTCTTGTCAAACACTCAATACCGGGTATCTGCCCGGTTAACCTCGTCATGGGCATTATTTGTATGGCATTTTCCCAGGATCTGTAACGGCTTAAAACATTCACCGGGAATAGTGCTGGGCGCTATACGAGAATTATGAGTCATGGGCAATGCACTACATCTAAAAGTTGAACGAACCTGCACTTTCAGAGAACCGTGAGGAAGAATCATTTTAGTTCAACAAGCTCATCTCGTCGATTACATATTAAGGAGCTCTACTATAAGCGCATAGGCAAAGGCTCTTAAAACGATGCGTTCATCGTTTGCTGCTTTCGTCCTGACTTATTGCAAATCCTTTTGAAGGAAAGGAGATCTGTGAAGATCTATAAGAGACGTAGGCCAAGTCCGGAGCAGTCCTGAGAAATTCCACTTCCTTAGACATAGCATGGGCGCTTCTTTGGCACTATTCGAACCAAACTTCTTTCTCACTCTGTACTCATTCTGTAACGTCTATGGGAGCTTCGCCTCCCATGAAGGTGATGAAGATCAGTATATTTCCTCATCTTGACACTTTACCATGCTGTTGACGTTCCAACTCAATTGCCGCTGACGTATGATTACATACTTCTTCGCTAAACCCATTAGTTTGAACCTTTTCAGGATAAATGTGATGAATGTCCACAATGAGCGATGATGATAGCATCGACTTCGATATCACTATTTCTGGATCGAGGTGTGTCTGTTTTACAATGTCGAGGGCAGTACTACCCAGCGGCTGTTTTGAGTTGGGCGTTTAGAAAAATTCTAGCATTGAGCAATGCTCGACGACTCGAAGGATTTCTGTTCAAAGCTAGAAGGAGGTAGGTATAGCAAAAGCCCAAAAAGGGAGTAATATTCAGGAAGCTAAAGCTATCGCAGGGCGTGACTCGTCCCCTTTTTAGCCTCCACCCAGTGGTTTAATATTAGTGATATGCTTACTGAACACAAACCCATCAAGGGACGGTGAAATAGTGTTGGCCTGAACCTGAGGGCAATCATCAATCCTTCTACCCCAAGCTCAAACCACCAGTGTTGATGAAAGTATCTTCTGGTACATTACATCTATCAGTAGGAATCTATGATCCCTAAAAGGCCACACAGGGCATTGTCAGGTCTAATAACAGCTTGTATAGAACGCAATAGTCGTCAGGAAGCCGGTTACGTCCCATTGCCAGTATGGTGTGGGTTCTTGAATACGAACGGCGTTGCCGCGCGCTCTGAGGAGGATAAATGAATTTTTGTGGAAAGTTACTGTAACTGGCAATCACGGTAATTACTGCTACAGTTTGGCGTGCAAATTTGGGTACAAGAACCGCCAAGAGCTCGTTAGTTGTATATACGGTCAAAAATATACGTCTATAAAATATATTTAGGAAAGCCTTGTACGCCGGGACACCAGCAGATTTTCTCGCTTTTTCCGCCATTTTGCCTAGTTACCTTTTATAGAAAACGGTACTTTGTCGACAATCGTTGTTCAACTTAGTGCTGAAAACTTGTGCACCTGAATTGGATTGTCTGGTTGTATTGTACATATGAAATACTCAGACGTATTTTCTCGCTTCCCAGAAGAAATTTCCCTAAAAGTACATTGCAAAGTTTTTGCTGATGAGAATAATCCGTAATGAGGAACGCGACAAAGCTGCCCGCATTTTTTTCATCGTTTCTTTTTGATTAAGGATGCTACAGAATGGCTCGAGAAAAACAGAAGAAGGGGAGACCGCGATAGGGAATGTTGCGATGTTGAAGTGAGGTGTGAATCCTGAAGTGCAACTTGAAGTGAAGTAAACAGGGAAATCGATCTGAAGAACAAAAATTTGCTTTTTAGAAAAACTCACGAAAAGTGCATAAACTGAAAAATTAAGAGGTGCTTGCCTTTAGAGCAATCGTTGCCTTCGTGCTTTTGTATTTAGTCGACAAGAAGCACGATGACCGGTGGGGTTTCACACTGCAGTATAATAATACCAGTGTCGAAGTACTGCCATTACAGAACAGTAGAGATCACAATTTGAACCATCCACCTCACTTCATATTACTCGCTTCACTCCGCAGCGCTCACTTTTCTCCATTAGCCTACCCACGAAGTGACTGCTTTTTATATGAGAAGAATAAGTTTTCCATATCACTACATTTATCATAATCACAAAGTAACCCGGACGGACAGACCGACAAACCGACATACAGACAAACCGACATACCGACATACCGACAAACCGAAAAACCAAGTTACTGCTTTATATATAAGAAGGATAAGTATATCTTATATGACTACCCACATATTAGCAAAAACTAAGCATAAGGTACGATGAGTGGGAAAGATTTCCAGGGATGTTGCTATTAATACAAAATGACATCAAAAGAATTCTAAATTAAATAGAGGTTTCACAGGCAATCGGTGGGCTTCCCAGCAACTCCTCCACCACCATCACGAAAGCAGACATGGATGGATCGGGTGCATAGCCGGTTAGTTCGCATACGATGTACTTTTTTAGAATAATCTATGAGACCTTTTATTCTTCTTCTCCGAGTGGCCACTATCGCACACGTGTGGGCCGGGTGATTAGAACATCGAATCCTGGATTGATCCGTCCAAGCTAAGCAACTTCCCGTCACTGCGGGTCCAGGGCCAGTTCTTTGGCACCACCTACGCCCGGGAAGTTAAGTGCACTGACTGTATATCAGTGGGATCACCCTAGAGAGATTCGATTGATTGGGAGGGCTGTGCGTTGAATAGCCAGGTAGTAGCCCAAAACCATGTCTTCAGACAAATCCGGTAAGCATCAGGGTAATCCTTAAAGGTGTAGCGATGGATTCACTCACCATCTGCTCACATAATGAGAATACTTTTTTCAGGTTGGCCTTCTGTGCCCTATGCGTATTTGTGCTGTTCATTGTCGTCGGATTAGTATTGCTGTTCTCAAATATCCAAGAACGTCCGCCGTAATAACTACCGGTTCATGGACTAATCGAATGCTCCCAAATAGCTCTAAATTACCTGGTCATTTCGGGAAATGAATTACAGTGAAGGAATTTTTGTCCTTCGGTTTGAAGAGTTGTGCTCGCTCCAAGAACATTACCATCCGCCCAAGGTTATTTATATACACATTTGACAACATTTTCTACTGAATTTCGTTTGTTCCCTTAGCATAATCGAGCAAAAATCTCATAAACTTGTAGCTGTTTCACATTGAAATGGATCTCACATCTACGTTCCTCTTAGTTTCTCATAGAGCAGGTTGTTCAGACCAATTCTACCTTAAGTTTGTGGTATTTCCAATGTCATATATTGTATTTCTGCTTCCGTATTCATTAATTTGTATAAAGTTCCAATTTAAAATGGTGAACTTGAGACATATGAATGTCCCTTCCCGTCGTACACATAGGTGTGGTGGAGGTAAGGATCTTGCGCAAGAGAATGTTTTTTCAGTGGTCGTGTTGCACACTGCAGTCGAAGCAACCTATCTATGTAGGAGGGTTCTAGAGAGCGAGCACTTGAGATCATGCGGTCCTTTGATGGACTATGAATTTGCTTGATGATACTACACTACATACAAAAGATAAATCGCAGAGTCGGTGAAGAGTCTTAAAAGATAAGAACCTCATTTTTCTGAAGTCGTGAAGCTGATTGTGAAGGATCTCCAGCTACAGCAGCATTTCGCTAGTGTCAAGTAAGTGTCAGGAAGCCTCAGGAAATAGGAAGGTATCGTAGACTCTCTTTCAGAGCGCTTCGCTATTTGAATTGCATCACAAATGTCCTCGATAACAAAACAAATATGGTTGTGCTCGAATCCATATGGGTCATGCAAAGTGTTCGGCACTTTCTTCTTATTGTATTATTTTTGCGCAAATGAGACCGAGAGATAACCTGCTAGGGGAAGGTCGGTGAATGGCTATAAATTTTCATGTGTATTAGATAATGGCTTATTACTAGTATTCCGTGTTTTCATTGAGGTAACGTCTGCCCATACATTTCTTTGCTCCGTTATCACTGGAGTCATTATAACCATTGAACCACCCATAGATTTTCGGTGCATCGGCTAAAATCAGTCGCATATCATAAGAGGCACCAGAAGATTTTGGTGCATCTGCTAGAATAAGTCGAATGCCGTAAGCGACAGCAAAATTTTTTTTACATGAGCTGAAAAAGCTTGTGAATTCGAGTAGAATAGGAGGTTGTTCTATAACTCTCAGATGGTAATCAGGCGGAACCGAACAAGGTTTCATCATGAATTTTCAAGTAACAATATATTACAAAATTTATCTGTATCTGTTTAGTAGCTCAAATTACGCGGAAACATCAACGCCTTCACGTTTCAGTGGGCTAGACCTTTACCATGAACCACTTCTGAGTCAAAATCCCATGGCGAGAACTCTTTAAGGTATTCATAGTGCGAAGATTTTCGGGCTTACCGTACTCGGAAAACGGATGCTTTTAAAGGAGCCTATCAAACCCAAAACATGCTAAATGACGGCGATTGTGAACAACTGTAATATTCCTTCCTGCCAAGCAATAACGATCTGAAAAAAGCAAATATTAGATTGGCGCATAAGTCTTTGTACATTTTCCCTTAATCCACCCAGCTGATGAGGTATCCACAATCCAATTCTCCATGTCTTTCCAAGGCGATGCAAGTGGGCAGCTACTGTCTGTGATGGCTATTAAGCTCCTGTGCCAGCTCGCTGGTACTACGTCTTGATTACTCATCAACCAGATTTAGAAGGAGGTCGACATTCAACTCAATTGGTCTCCCTGATCGTGGTCTTCGGTCAGGTCAAAGTGACCATTTTCAAAGTTGTGCTACTATTTTTTCGCCATGTTGAGGAAACAGTGGAGGGTCCCATCGCAAAACATATGTTCCTTGTCGCATGCTTTGCACTGACATTTCTTCTGAACTCATAAAGTAGAAGCAGCCTAACCTGCTTTGAGTCGAAAGCGACTATTTCAGCCATGACCGTTGCAAAATACTACGGGAATATGGTGTGATGCGCGCATTGATCAGCACTAACACATGTTTCGCAATGAAGATGTCAAAGCAAGTCCCAAAGTTCTCACAACATGGAAACCAAAAAGTACGAAGACGCGCCAATAGGTTCAGATCATCATGTAAAAGTTAGTAGTCGAAGCACCCACGAAATTGTTCATAAACAACATTTTGCGATAAGAAATTAATGAAGCTATAAAGCGTTCAAACAGAAGCAGGTCGATCTCGCTCACGCCACATATTATAGAACCGTCTCTGCGGAACTCAAAGTATACCAGCTGTGAATTTTACTTCTTCAGCTGTGCAAATCGAGATTTTAACAATACTTTATTCGGCTTACGCTTCGACGCTTCTGCCTTCTTCGGAGCCTGGAAAGACAAATGTCGTTCAAAGAAATATTCAGCCAAGCACTGCTCTGATCTACAGAGTGAGTTTCAGCGGGCCTGAATTCTTGCTACTCAAAGTATACCAATGAGCCATACATCAACAAATTATATCATCAGAGTTCATGCGTGCACGAGCATTTGCAAGGGAGGAAGGGAGGCTTGGGGCATCACAAGCAGTGCCCTCGCTGTGACTTATAGTATAAGTGCCAAAATCCACTCGTTATAGTAAGCCCAGTGATCGCTCTGTTCATTTCTACAGGATAATCAGTTATGGATTTCTCAACTTCACATCCCGGGATTATTGTATCTAACCTAGATCGGCTGGGGTTTCTGTGGTGTCGGGACTCGAGCTACAGGGCAACCCTTCATGCACCAACGGCTCAATAATATTCATAACACGATTTACAGTTCAAAAAGGCGAAAAGATTAGTTTCCTAAAGTAACCCATTGTCAATATTCGATCATCAGCTAACAACTACGTAGAGTATTGTGTGGTGAAGAAATGCTCAAAGTGCTGTGTAACCACCCACCGTTCACATTTTCCTTTTTAATTTACAGCAATTATTATAACGCAATTTAAATAACGAAAGATGCTGGCTAGTTGTTCTTAGTGCACCCCTGAACCAGCTCCTCAGGTTCGTAATTAGATTGAAGAGATTTGGTTCGATGGTGTACTCAC